ATTCATTCCAGAAAAGTTGAGTGGAAACCCAATCGCGATAACTTATTAATTAAGACTTTGTGCGAAACTCTGTCGAACGCCTTCGAAAAGTCTGTGTACACAGCGTCCACTTGTAGAGCTGACTGCATCGCAGCAACGCAGTCCTCGATGAATGTAGCAAGGAGACAGTCGACCTCCCACTAACAAACCTGTGCTGGTAAGGGCAAATTAAACTTTTCACTGCGAAATTGAGCTTCTGTTTGACAACTGATTCCAAAACTTTTGGGACAGTGTCCAGTTTGGAAATAGGCCTATAATTCGAAACGTCGTTCTTGTTCCCACATTGATGTAATTAAAGCATTTTGCCAGTCGTCAATAAAGTAACCAGACGAAAGAGATTTATTGAACAATATTGTTAATGGCTGAACAAGCGATGGGCAACATCTGATGAACAAGCAAAAGCACTTTTCAGAGAGTTAACCTCGTCCACTAACATTTGTGGGAACGACGCATTGTTGTTGTCCATGACTTTGATTGCTTGCAATTCAGATTTTATCTCGGATTTTAAATTATCAAATTGCGCAAATAACTCCTTGAATTTATCATCAAAAGCACTTCTTATGGCCTCAACACAATGTCTTTGAGAGGCCAGAAGCGAATCATACATATGTTTCACTGAATCTTCTTGGTAAAACCACACAGTCAGGACACAAATTACCAATATTTAGATTTTTTTTTGAAAAGATTGACATCGTATTCAGACACAACACCCTCGCAGCAAGTGCGATGAAATCTTTTTCTGCAAAATCCACTGCATGGCACCTTCCAAGGCGAATTTATACAAGGTGGTGTTGATAGCGAATTTAGATTTTCGCCGCGGTACTTCCTAATGTCAAAATTATATGTTTGTTGTAAACAAGGCAAATTCATTTTACAACAAACACATCATTTTGACATTAAGAAGCACCGCGGCGAAAATCTAAATTCGCCATCAACACCACCTTGTGTAAATTCGCCTTGGCACCTTCTGAGCGTCAGTCCTAGCGAATGCTTTATTGCATTTGCCACAAAAATCGTCCGTAATGACAAATCAAACGAAAAATAACAGAGCAAGCAAAAACACGCCCGCTCAAAAACACGTCCGCTCATCAGCTTCAAATATGCCAAAATAGGTCAAATAGGTTTATTTTGTGAACTTTATCAATAAAAACCCACAAAGAGTTTCCTTATTAGTTTAAATTTCATCCAGCAACATGCGATCAGCTGTTTTTCATACTGGCAAATTCTTACAAGTAAAAATTTATCCAGTAAAATCCAGTAAAAACTTCAACTGTCATTTTTCTCTCTCTTAATTTCCCCTACTTTGCAAGTTTTTGCGTACGAAAGCGCCAAAACATGAAAATTCGTAAAAACGTTTACTGGATTTTACTGGAAATGAGTGAACAAACGCAACTATTATAATCGTTTGTGCCGCAGAAACAAAAAACCAAGTAAGCACTTGTTAACACCCCAAAATAGTTTGCTATTTGTAGTAGTTATGCACACATAAATTCAGGCTTTTTTTTTGCTTAAATTGCTTAGCTTCGACAATTTTTATGCAATTGCGTTAGGTGAGGCACCAATTTATGCGAAAATAAATGACCTTTTAGGTAAATACTATACGTTTGGCAACCTTCATAGAAATTTTTGAAATCAACGATTGTAAAAGTTGGAAAATTTAAGAAAAATAGGAGCTTATTAAAATTTAACAGATGAAAAACTTCCAACAAGCTAAATCTAACAATATATTAGGGGTATTCTCGAAGTCTTGCACGATGCACGGATTGCACGAAATGCAAAAATACTATTCCAAATTTCGAAGAGTACGAGAACACCCCATTGCAAAGTGGTAGCATGCATGGGGAGCAAGCAGCGAAATTATGTATCAAATACAATAACAAGAGACAGCAAAAAAAAATTAAGTGAGCGAGATGAGAGGAATGAGAGAAATATGTAGCAATTCCAACAACAAAACAACTAGCACAGGGTCGCTATTATCTTGCTATGCTATTTTGCAAAATATATACATGGGTTTCGACGTTGCATATTTTGCAGCGATAGGAAATGTTGTTTCCCATGAATTTTCTTGTTGTGTGTTTGCAATTTATGCAATCCGTGCAATCCGTGCTACGTGCAATGGCTTTGCAAGATTTGGAGAATACCCCTATTGTTATACATCATTTTAAAGGTCTATAAATCGCCCAAATATGTTCGGCTTTAAAAATCGGATGAAAAATAGTCAAGCTGTTAATAGATATGCACATCAAGTACGAATATAACGGTTGTTTTGAAATAAAAATGTTAGTCTCCAGGAACTATACGGAACCTATTTTTATGTTGTACTCGACCAAAGCAACAACCTACACGAGGTTTTGTTTCGGGTGTATTTCATGACTTTGTAATTAATCTACAGCTACCCAACTGTTTCTGTTGTTTTCTGTTGTTTTCATGCAATTGTCCAAATATTTCTTTGCAAAATAAAATGTTTAATAAATATCTTGGGTTGGTTTTTTCTTTTGATATAGGTTTACTGATATGTATGTAAATAATGTGTTTTCTTTTATAGTAAATTTTTTATATATCTACTTCATAATTCGTGCAGTAGAGGGTTAAGCTAAACATTTGAACTTAATATTTACAATTTGTTTGAAAAATATGATATATGAAATATTGATCGCAATATCAATTGCCAAATAATTGCATTACACTGTGCTACCGACGGAGTTCATGCAGGACGTCCCAAATTGTTTATTGAACTTAAAAAATCAACATTCTTTATTAATATTCTTATTTGTGGGCCATCGAAAATTGCCACATTTGCATATATGTATGTATGTACATATCGATGGTCCTGTGCAGTAACGACACAATTCAAAATGCAAAAAACAAAAACTGTTACTACTGTTAAGTGACTCTTGTCTCTAATCCTTGCCTAATCCATTTCCATCCCATACTAAAGTAAGCAGTAAGGATTGCTAAAGTAAGTACAGAAGATTAGACATGAATTCGACAAGGATTAGAGACGTGGGCCACTTAACCGTAGTTACAGTTTTTGTTTTTTGAATTTCGAATTGTGTCGTTACTGCACAGGACCATCGATATGTACATATTTTCTGTGCTTAGACCAGGAAATCAAATTAATAATTAATGGAAGATCTGTAAACAAACTGCAGCTAACTTTATTTCGACTATATGAATATGCAACACCAGAATTTCTGCAAAACTCCATAGCTGAATTGCTGAATAAATTAAAACGTTACCAAGGTAAATAGAATTGCGGTTGCAAGGAGTGGGGACAATTGTTGGTAACAAAATAAGCTTGTTACAAAATGGTCGGTTACAAGCAGAATATGCCTGTTAATATGCTCATAAAGATTAGCAAAATACCGCATGTTTATTAAAATAAACTACAGTGCCGGACAAACGTATTGGCGCAGAGAATTTTTCGCTATGCATGTAAAGTTTTTTATTATAATTGCTTTTTGCGCATTTTTTATTAAAATATAGTTCTTACTACAACAAAGCTCCTGAATTGTGTGCAAAACTCAGGAATATTCAATAAATTTGCGTACTATTTATAAAAAATTCTGCCAATTTTAAACTTGCCTTTTGTTATACTAAAATTGAATGGGGTAAATAACTGCATAGTAAGAATTCTTCTGGATAATCTGAGTTGAAAGTTGCAAATTAGTACGCAAATTTCTTAAATTTTCCAGAGTTTTAACACAGTTTATAGATTTTATTATTATTATTTTTTTTTTGGTTTTTGGTCTAGAATAAACTCTAGTGGTATTCAACAAAGTGAGTAAGTGAAATCTGAATAAAAAAATTTGCTTATATTGCGAAAAGCTCCCTGTGCCATTACTTTTGTCCGGCACTGTATTTTCGAATCCAAATACGAACAGTTAACTATTCGTTGCGTTTATTTTTATTTTGAAATAAAAATAAGCGGAAACTTTTATTTTTGAGTGCGTTCAATAAAATGGTATTGATTTTGGAATGCATTGCTTCGTAGTTTTATTCAAACAACAGTTATTTTTTTAACAGTCAAACTTGGCCAAATATTTTTTAAGTCCGAAATAAAAGTCCTTTCCCGATAATAAACAAATCATCTATCCAAATTAAACAAGTTTGGTATCAAATGAAAGAAGAATAAAATAGCTTTAAAACTGAAATGGCTAAACGAGGAAAGCCATCCAGTGAAAAATATTTCAATATAAAATATTATTTAATTACCATAGAACAATCCTTGGGTCAGGTATTTGAATCTCATTTATATTAAATTATAAAAAAATATAGATACAGTTGGTAACCCTCGTTCGTTATTTCTGTTTAAGAGCTATTACAGTCCTCTTTCATTTGATACCAAATTTGTTAAATTTTGATAAGCGGTTTGTTTATTATCAGGAAATGACTTTTATTTCAAACTTGAATAATATTTGGCCAAGTTTGACCTAAACAAAAAATAACTGTTATTTTCGGTCCCTGATTTGTATGGAGAAATGCGCTATCTTTCACACTTTGGCCCAAATTACGCGTTTGGCTCCAGTGTATGTGTATTATAACTTGCCAATTTCAAATGGTCAATTTAATATTTTGGAAACTAAACTTGCATTAATTTTTATTGAGCGTAGGATCGGCATTACAAAAAAAAAAATATAGTTCTATTTGTATTTACATATATGTATGTACATATGTATGTACATATTTATTTGAAGTTTCTTCTTAAATCGAGTCTTGAGCTCAATAAAAATTAATACGGAACGCAAACGGAGGCCATAAATAAAAACAAATTTATTAGCCTTCAAAATGTTTAACGATTATGTTACTATTATGTACTCGATTAATCAACCCCCCGTTTATGATAACACTAAATATAGAGAAATACTTTACACAAATTAAAAATAAAAGTAAAAATATTAGGCAAATTCGATAACATATTCCATTCATATATTATCTTTGGTAATTTTTTTACTTTAAAGGCAACTTGGTCACAACGCCAACTCAACAAAAACCCATGGTTGTTGCTCAGTCTATACACGCTTCACGTATGAAATCTATTGCCACTGCAACTAATATCGATACATTATTGGTGGCCAATCAGGAGGAAAAAGTCACTATACCGCCCGAACCTGTGCAGGACAAAACCGCATTCATATTCAATAATTTGAGTCAACTGAATATTCCGCAGAAATGTGAAGAGATTAAAGAGATTATGAACAAGGATTATTGGCCCTGGCTAGCACAGTATCTGGTGTTGAAGCGCGCTTCATTGGAGTTCAACTTTCACTCGCTGTATTTCAATTTCTTGGAGGCATTGAAGAATCCCGACATCAATAAATATGTCACCAAGGAGACATTGCGCAACATCAAAGTCTTGTTGCGTTCCGACAAGGGTGTGGTGAATTTCTCCGATCGCAGTTTATTGAAAAATCTCGGTCATTGGTTGGGCATGATGACGCTGGGTCGCAATAAGCCCATACTGCAAATCGAATTAGACTTGAAGACATTACTAGCCGAGGCCTATCACAAGGGACAACAGGAATTACTTTTTGTTGTGCCATTTGTGGCCAAGATTTTGGAGTCGTCGAACAAGTCGAAAGTTTTTAAAACACCAAACCCCTGGACAATGGCTATCATGAATGTGCTAGGCGAATTGCATCAGGAGCCTGAATTGAAGCTTAATTTAAAGTTCGAAATTGAAGTGCTTTGCAAGACGTTAAATATTGAATTGCAGAAACTGAAGCCAATAGTGTATCTAAAAGATCCTTCGCGTTCGATGAATATAGAACACCAGATGTCGCAACCGAAGCCGAAGAGTATAGAGGCACCGCCACAACAACAGCAGCAACAACAACAGCAACAGCAGCAACAGCAACAACAGCAACAACAGCAACAACAACAACAGCAACCGCCACAACGCCAAACACCGGGTCCTGGACAAATGGGACCCAACGATCCAGACGCACAAGCCTTGATTATGGGCGGTGGAAGTGGTGTTGGCAGTGGCGCTGGTAGTAATGTACCAGGGGGTGTAGTGCCTTCGCCCAGCATCAGCAACGAATCAGTCGGGCAGGTCATTATGCAAGCGCCAGAGCCACGTTTCTCATTTGTGGACATAAATATAGCCAATTTCCACCTCATCGCTCAACACGTGGTGCTTTCCCCGAATATTACATTCTTGCACGCCAACCCCGGCTTGAAACATATTGTGCTGAATGCAATTGAACGCACAATCACCGAGTGGCTGCAACCGGTTGTAGATCGTAGTGTGCGCATAGCTGTGACCACAACAGAGCAGATTGTGCGTAAAGATTTTGGGCTCGATCCAGATGAGAACCGCATGCGCACAGCTGCACATCAAATGGTTCGCTACTTATCGGCTGGCATGGCTATGATTACTTGCAAGGACTCCTTATCTCAGACTCTTACTAATAATATACGTAAAGCTTTCCTATCCGCACTGACTGGTGGACCTAGTTATCAGGAAATCGAGGCCGCTGCAATACAGCTAAGCAATGACAATGTCGAGCTCGCCTGCGCCTTCATCCAAAAGACAGCTGCTGAGAAATCAACTCCAGAAATCGATCGACGCATGGCCACCGACTTCGACACGCGCAAAATGACCAGAGATGAAGGAGGGTTAGTTTGAGATTCGACTTTTTAGTTACAAGATGTAAATTAATTGTATTATTTATATTTTTCATTACAGTCGTTTCTATGACACGCAGACATTGGCCTATCAGACAGAGCGCATGCCAGAGCAAGTTCGGTTGAAAGTAGGCGGCATCCCACATACACAATTCGCAGTTTACGCGGAGTTCGCTCGCAACATACCTGGCTTCCAGCCGATGACTGAGCGCGATATAGCTCTATTCTTGCCCAAGCCGCAGGAGATAGCGCCTGCTTCCTTCGGCACCGACGAACTTGGTCTCATGTATGCCGATTTAGCAGGCAAAATGGAAGCATTCCTCAACAGCACCATAAATGTGTCCACATTGCAGCTACAGGCTAGCAAGATGCATGCGCTGCTCAACGCTCTTATGGTAACGAGGCGAATCCGTGATAATGAATCGGCTCTGAACCTCTTGACACGTGTTGTGGAGGGTCTTATTGAGGGCCTTGTAAACATACCCGACCACATTGAACAAATGAAACTGTACCGCGATATACACTTGCGCATATTTACTTTGCTGCAGAACACATTCGGCACAGGAGTGACGGAGCGTGCAATCACCAAGTGCATCTTCGACATACGCGATGAGGTGCGATATAATGTGGAAGCGATAAAATTGCTAATCACATCACATTTTATCAATGTGCCACAATTCGATTTGTTGTTGCGCGAAGCCATGGACAATGGCAATAATTACATGGCGGTCACATTTGCTATGACGTTGATGGAACGTCTGCTTGATGGACGCTCGAGCGCTACATTGGAAACAGAAATGACTGGAACATTCGAGATGCTTGGACGTTTGCCACAGAACCGTCATCGCTATCCAGAAGCGTTGACACATCAGATTGATATGATGGATGCCGGACCGTTTGGCGGCGCTGATCGTTACTTAGCAGGTGCCACACAATACATGCACTCGGGTATGCAACATGTGCGGGTAAGTTACAATTATAAATTTCACATTTAAGGGTACATTTTTTGATTGTTTTTATTTTTTCTCATACCACAGGCAAACGACTGTGACGATCCGCCAGGCTTGCAGGAGAAAACAGAATTCCTGCTCAAAGACTGGGTCTCCATTTATAATCAGTCCAACAATTTGTCGCGTGAAACCAAGATCTTTACCTCATTCGTCCAAAAAATGAATATGTATGGCATATTGAAAACCGACGATTTGATAACGCGATTCTTCCGACAAGCCACACAAATCTGCATCGATTTGGTATATCGCATACTCAACGATCCAAGTAATTCACCATTGCAAGCGCGCACCAAAATCTTCCACTGGATAGACGCTTTTGTGCATTTAATTGCCCTGCTGGTACGCCACTCCGGCGAAGCGGGCAATCCTACTACGAAAATTAACCTGCTGAACAAGGTGCTCGGAATCGTACTAGGCATATTGCTGCAGGATCAAGAACTGCATGGCACCGCATTCCAACAGCTCGGCTACCATCGCTTTTTCGTGATGCTATTCCTGGAGCTGAGCTCCCCCGATGCTGTGCTGGAGAGTCTGATGCACAGCATTATGACTGCTTTTTCGCACACGTATCACCTTCTAAACCCAGCGTTGGCACCCGGATTTTGTTACGCTTGGTTGGAGTTGATCTCACATCGCATTTTTATCGGACGTATACTCGCACAGATACCGCAACAGAAGGGATGGCCACTGTACTCGCAGCTGCTACTCGATCTGTTCCGCTATCTGGCACCATTCTTACGGAACGCCGAGCTAGCGAAGCCCGTACAGCTGCTGTACAAGGGAACGTTGCGCGTTCTGCTCGTGCTACTGCACGACTTCCCTGAGTTTTTATGTGACTACCACTTTGGCTTTTGTGATGCAATACCGCCTAATTGTATCCAAATGCGTAACATAATATTGGCTGCTTTTCCCCGCAACATGCGATTGCCCGATCCCTTCACACCCAATCTTAAGGTGGATATGTTGGCTGAGACTGCAACAGCGCCCAAAATTTGCTCAAACTATGTATTCAATATACAGCCGGCGAACTTTAAAAAGGATCTCGACTCGTATCTGAAAGCACGCGCACCAGTGACTTTCCTCTCTGAGCTACGCTCGCATTTGCAGATCTCAAATGAACCCGGTTCGCGTTACAACATTCCGCTCATGAATGCGCTTGTGTTGTATGTGGGCACGCAAGCTATTTCGCATATAAGGTAAGAGATGAGAAAATACATTCTGCTTGAACTGTAAGTTTTAAAATACATTTTTATTTTTGTTTACACAGAAGTAAAAATTTTGTGCCCAATACATCAAATATCGCTCACAGCGCACATATGGATATTTTCCAAAATTTGGCAGTGGACTTGGATACCGAAGGTCGCTATCTCTTCCTCAATGCTATCGCCAATCAGCTGCGTTATCCGAATAGTCATACTCACTATTTTAGCTGTGCGGTGCTACATCTCTTCGCCGAAGCCAATTCGGAGGCGATTCAAGAGCAAATTACACGCGTACTACTCGAACGCCTTATTGTAAATCGTCCGCATCCATGGGGTTTGCTGATAACTTTCATTGAGTTGATTAAGAATCCCATCTATAAGTTCTGGGATCATGACTTTGTTCATTGTGCGCCCGAGATTTCAAGGTAAGTGATAGAGTCAAACAATTTTCTCTTGTCCACTAAAATATTGAAAATGCAAAATTTTCTTTATTAATCATATATTTTTCTTCGTTCTCGCTTAGGTTATTTGAATCGGTGGCACGTTCATGTATGGTCAAATCGAATCATCCGCCGCAGATGAACAATATGGATGGTGAAATTCAGGAAATCAATTAAACCAGAACTACAATAAATAACAACAGCAGTAGTGTAACAACAGAGTTCTTACCCACGATATGGTGGTAGCGACCGCAGTGGTGGAAATGGGTGGTTGTAGTTATAAGGTTTTGTGTATTTCGTTGGGGTCTGTTGGTGGCGATGGCGGCGTAGCTGGCAGCCCGTAGCCAGTCATTCTTCACCATGCGTGAACTGCCGTCCTATTCAAACAGAAGTAGCAGAAGATTAAAAAGTTTTTTTAAGCTAAAGATACAAAAAATATAATTGATTTATGAATTAAGACATTGCAACTTTTTTAAAAAGAAAAAAACTAAAAAAATTGTAAAATGTAAAATGAAAAAGAAAACGAAAAAAGCAAAAAACAATTTACTTGTAAGTAGTTTAAAATACACGATAAAGAGGAAGCAACACTTGAAAGAAAATTTAAATTAAATTAAATTTATTGATAACTAATTGATGTATTATAAATATAAAATTATTTTGAACCAAACAATACAAATGCTAATTATTAAAAAGATGTTTGTGTAAAAATCTAAAGTTGGCAAGCGAAAGAAAACTTAAACGAAACATAGAAAAGAATAAAGATGAGCGAAAATTAAACACTAAAACTAAAAAAAAAAAAAACAGAAAAAACAGGATTGTACTACATGATCGATGATAGTATGGGTGCTCGAACTGCGAGAGTGGAGAAAATTATGTAAGGTTTGAAACGAAAATGCTGCATTGCTGACCTGAAACACTGCGGCAAATCAATTTAAAATTTTAAACAAATGATAATTAAAGAAGAAAGGAAAATGGTAAGCATTAAACAGAAATTCATTAAATAATACTATACATTCATAAAATGTATATTAAAAAATAATAAAACCTTAAAAAGAAAAACCCACAAAAAAAATTGTAAAAACTATCTAAAATACAAAAAAATCCGACAAACACACTGTACATATTTGTATGAATAAATTAGTGTTAAAGGACGAATCGAAGCCAAGGGAAAATTCGGTGTAGCGATGATATTTCGACGATTGCTGACGCTGAGTTGCTCAGCGCTGCGGCGAATGGAAACACATTTTTGGAGTTCGAAATGGGTTAAACGAGCGCCTCAGACAGAAATTAAGACAACAAAGAGTGCAATCTTACAAGCGCGAATGCCTAGCAAAATCGTGCAACGTTGCTGCAACAGCAGCCAAAGCAAACGCTCGAAATATTTATAAAAATAAAATAAAAATTAAAAATAATTTATGATGCTTTTAATATAGTATAATATAATGGCGATGATGTGATGAATAAGAAAAGATATAGAGAGCTGGGAGAGTGGAAAAGATGTGTAGGTTGAGCGCAAGCACAAATAAGAATTTCTTTATCAGAAATGAAAAAGCAAAGAAGATAGAAGTTGTTAAATACTGTCGACTGCTGGCGTGTTTGCGTTTCTCTTTTTTGCTTCGTTTATAAATGAAGGAATTTTTGTGCAAATTTTTTGTGTTATGTTGATATTTTGCTTATATTAATTTAAATTTCGAATATGTTTCGGTGAAAGCTGCCCGACTTATGTTTTTGCACACAAACACATGTTTACATAAATATTTTAGAAGCTCCGTACTTTCTTATTTCCGTTTTAAATTATGTACAGTTTTAAATAAAATAAAAATGAGTAAAATATCAAAAACCCAACGTAAGGAAACACATTTTAATTACATACATATATAAAATTGCTAAATAACTTTGTTCATTGTTGCCCTATTGAGAATATATTTTTATAATTTAAAAATTACACTTTCCAAACGCAAATATTTTATGCGTGTTTATTGAAATTGAACTTAATTATTAAACCAATGTTTTTTTTCAAAATGTCAAAATGATTTTATCAATGCGCTCATATTTTAAGATTATTAAAAAGTAATAATAATGAATAAAATCGAGAAAATAAAATAAAACAAAATACAACAAAACTCATCTGCTGAACGCCAGAGCTGTATGTCATTGGTCATTTTACTTGAGGTGTATGTAATTAATTATAAAATACTTATAATTTCTAATTAAATGTCTAATTGAAAACAAAGTTATAAGCTAATGCATACAGAGATATATAATTATAATTAATTATAAATTGTATAATTGACGCTAGTGAAAGAGAGCAGAAATTATATGCAGATGAAGCGAGATAAATTAAATGAAAAGAATGAACAATATATGAAGAATAAAACCAGGAAAATCTGAAAAAAAAACAAAGTAACAAAAACGAAAATATACATATATTACAGATGCATTAAAATAAAAAATAGTCATATTCATTAAAAAACGAGTAGTATTTTAATTCATAATTCCATCTTTTGAATAGACACATCTTCGTGTCCGCAACGTGTTTTGGGGATGCTGCTGAGTGACAGTCATTGGTTCTACTGCCGTCGGAATAGCCACATCTTCATTGTTATTTAGTGCATGTTCACATACAGAATAACGGTTCAGCCCACATGTTCTTGGACCAAACTTTAGACTAGTTACAGTCACTTGCAGTCTAGTTTGTGGTGTGCTCTAAGTCTTCCGAGGTTCTACAGGGTAGCTACCAATCTTTCCTTCAGGGTATGCTTAGTTGGAATACACGGCAAAAATATGCAAAGTAAATTTTTACATTATTGAACACTTCTTATGCACGCACATTTTCGCACTCTCATTCTCTCATCTCTCTCCCGCGCAAACATTTGTTGTTGTTTGCTGTAGTGCGTTCACATTATCACCCTATTCTAGAACCCGAATATTCGTAATTCGTAATTCGTAGCTACGTTACGAAAAACTTCATGCTGCAACCCTTGCGGAAAAATGTGCAGCATTGCCAACTATCAGTGGTTTTTCGAACTCAGCTGTATGAGGGAAAACAGTGAAAAGGAATTAAAAAAACACTCATCATGTGCTTGTTTATAGTAAAATTGGTTGATTTTACATATTTTGAGCAAAATTATGGATTCTGATGCATTTGCAATTATAGCAGCGGAGTAAGAGCGCGCTATGGCAATGGATGCACAAAGGTATGCGGAGCTGTCGGGTATAGTAACCATGGACACATCTATGTCAGCTTCTGTTTGAATTGTTGAGCCACAAGCTATAGCTGCTCCTATGCCTGAAGATCTGGTTCTCAATCCAGTTAATGCAATAACAGCTTCTTCTAAGCCATTGAAGACATGCTCTTTGTTAGGTCCACCACCTGTTGCACGTGCTTCTGCCTTCGGCCGCGCTTAGGGATTATAACTCTTACTAAGTAGAATTCTCCTTTCTGTGTTGCCGGAGAAGAGAGGCTTCCGCATGTCAAAGGTATACAACACTTCTTGTGCACATCACTCCGGCTACGTCATCCACAGTATTTTTGCGCAGAACGTCGAAATTTGCAAAAAAAGTGCATAGTGCAAACCGAATTTATTAATAAGATAGTGCTCGGTAATTTGAAAAATCTATTTTAAATAAAATTTTAATCCTTTGATTACACGTGATGTTAAAGTTTTTGGATTCAGATAACGCATTTGGACACAACAACCGAAAATCATTGTACAAATAATAAACCGGACCCAAGTTTCTCGATAAGGGGCAACAAAGATTCTTTTTTGCTCGTTTATATAAAGCAGTGGATAAAAATATACGTATATTCGAAATGCAAATTTATCTGTTTAAATAAATACCACTAATATTTCCTGCAAACACACATCGATTTACATCTTTTATCTCGCCTCCGACTCAGAATTGTTTTCGTACAAAGTTACGCAAAAAAGCTTACTCGTTCGTTTTTAGGCATGAAATTGTTACGAATTTCGAAAGTTCGAAGATACGATTCGGATTGCAGCATACTATTTCCATGAACCAAAAATACAAGATCACGCCTACTTCTTAGTTGCCCGTTATAATCGCATTTAGGAAAAAAGTTGGGCGACTTTGACCATTAGCCGTTTGTTTACATTTGTTCGTTGTTTACAAATTGGTGGCAATTTTCTTAATTTTCGCTTGTGACAACGTGTGCACACATAAGGTAAAGAATAATTTAACACAACGACATGATTTATAGAAGAATTTGCATAATAAAAATGATTATTCATGCGTTCAACAATTACGCGGTGTTTTTTTGTTCTCTTTGTTGTTTAAGTTCTGAACACATTGAAAACGACGAGCTACCGACCACAGCTTCCAATTTGTCATCTTTATAGCCCGAACACAATGAAAACGACGAGCTACAAACCACAGCTGTCAAATTATTTTAACACTTATAGCCCGAACACAATGAAAACGACGAGCTACAAACCACAGCTGTCAAATTATTTTAACACGTACTCTTATGTAGATAATTATTTTGGCGACGACCGGGCTACGCGACGGCTGTGGTTGTGGCCAGA